CGAGGCTTCCGAGAACACACGAACCAAATGTTACAGTGCAGCACGCGACCTGGAACTCGCATTAAATTCTCAGGTAAAGATCACTCTCTCCTCTCGACAAATGATGCTGTTTCCCCGAATCCCGCCCCCTTTCCTCACATATCCTTTGACGTTCCAAGGATAGCCCTCTATAATAAATGACACAAAAAGCACTTTTGACGTGATTCTCACAAGAATCCTTCCTCCTCACCTTCACTTCCCTTTACCAATCCTATACTAAACACGGCTATGCTATAGTTGGAGCTACTCTTAAAAATGTGTGCAGAGGCGAATGGATTCACTCGTGGGGCCCCATGTGGATGGTCGGCCAGGGTCTTCACGGTGCCACCGTGGGCTTCGTCGGCATGGGCCACATCGCACAGTGTGTGCTGAAGGGCATGATCGGACTTAACATTGGCAAGGCCATCTACTATGACAAGTTTCACCCCATCAGGCCTGGTATGCCTCACTTTTGCAGGCTTCTGCTGCTTTTAAAACTGTGAACGGACACCGATTTTCGAAGCTTGTTTTATTCCGCCATACAAAGCTACTATACACAGACGGCTGTCTGAAAATACACGTACTGACTACGACACTATCGCGACGTCATCCTGCACAATCAATCATGGCGACTTAACGTACTAGTATGGCTTAGTTGTGATGACGTCACTATATATTACGTGAGCATGGTTAGTGCTTGTTTCATTTTGTGACGTCACTGTCCGGTAGGAAAATAAACTAATTTTGAAAAAAAAAGAGGCCGCTTTTACACTAACCCGTGCATTTTCTAAACTATAAGAGGACCTGGCCTTTCATACTGAGCAAAAAAAGCAATATTTTCACTTCAGTGCAGCATTATGGTTTAGACAATACACCATCCTCCCTCGAGCTTCTGGGAGAGAAACGTCCCTAGATCTAGGGAACTAATGGGGCAGGGGGTATTGTATTGTGTGACACAGTATTACATGAAGATGTCACTGTCAACAAGGTAGCTGGGCGAGATACTGACACGACGCTTGTTGAAATTTCCCCTGAACTTCATTCACTCTTGTTTGGATTGGACGACTGTGTTCAGAACAAAAAAATGAAATAACTTTTAAGCACTCGTTTCTTTGTTTGATACAACTTTACTAAAGATCAATATATTTGAGATAAATAAAGAAGAAAGGCAGGGAGGTCGACCGAATCAACACATTAAGACGGCAATGAAGGTGTATAGGGAACATTAATTTCAGTTTTTAGGTGTGCCGTATGGAAATTATGAGGTAGATTTGCAAAACGTTAAATGGGCTATGGCTGGAGTCGTCCTCTTCAACTTTGCCTTTTTAGTAAAGTATTGAACGCATTTACTCGAAAGTTACAGGTTCAGTCCCTTGTACGAGCGAAGCACCTTAACACTGCACGATGACCCGTTCATCCATAAACCGCCGCCCTGCGCCTACTGCAGATACGGAAATCGGAACATTTGTGAACGAGATCCGACATTTAAGTACCCATCAACCAAAGCAAATGACGGAACAAAAGGCCAACAATAATAAAATAATGAAATGCTTTGGACCAGAACAACATGGGTCACGATTCACAATACGGTACACTCTGTTTCGCCCTATCGAAAATTTCGGCATGTACATCATTACTCCTACAGTACATTGAACATTCCTATACGCCTCCCTTAGTTTTATTATCTGTTCGTTTTCATTAAGAGTGTATAAAAAGGTTAGGTCATACTTGGTCATACTCACAGAGCACAGGAGGGTCTGGTGCCGGTCATGCAGCGGATAGCCTAGCTTTCGCTCTGTATCCAGTTCATTTTAATATACATTAAATCGCAATGGTGGTCTAGTGGCTAAGGCAGTCGGCTGCTGACCAGCAGGGCGCGGAATCGAATACTAGTCGCGGCGGCCCCATTTTCAATAGAGGCAACAATGCTGGATGTCCGTCTGCTTAAATTTAAGCTTCTCGCTAAAATAACAAACAAACCATGTGGCCGCAATTTCCGAAGCCCTTCACTACGGCGTCTCTCTTAATCGTACGGTGGTTTTGGGACGTTATACCCCCAAAACTATTATAATATTATCGATTTGCCGGACGTGCGCTTGAGCGCTCGCTTGCGCTTTTCACAGCGGAGGAGCTCGGCGCCACCTACTGCAGCATTGACGAAGTCGCATCCCAGGCGGACTTCCTCATCACCCTGACCAACCTGACCGACGAGACTCGGGGCATGTTCAACAAGAGCTTCTTTGCCAAGATGAAGAAAACTGCCGTCTTCATCAACACCAGCAGGTACTTCTTCTTCAACAGCAAATGTTAGGAAAGGAGGGATTCTTAAATGAAAAGATAAAAGTGAGCCCCGTAACTGTCTCTCAGGGGGAGGACGCCTCAACAGTAGCTCACGAGGGATGGGGGTAAGGAGGGATCAAAGGATATGGAGGATTAAAAGGTATAAAGATGGAGAGAGTAGCAGGAAGAAAGCGAGGCGTAGAGACAGCCACATACGGAAGTAAGAAGAAGATAGAAAAGATTAACACGGTCACAGGAGTCCGAGGACGGGGTACCACTTGCGAGAGCTCTTGTCGGCGTCAGGAGGTGGCGTAGGGCAAGTCCAGTGGGTCAGAGCTACGCTGTCGTCGGAGATCAACGTTAGGGGATGACGTAGGGCCAGCCCAGTCGGCCAGAGCTGCGCCGACGTCGGAGATCGCGAGTGCCCAACCGGTCGGCACGGAATCCAGCGAGCGAGTCCCAAATGTGAGGCTGAAAATTACCCCTAATATACCCCGGCAACGCTTCGCGAGCAAGGGGAGGGAAGCGCTGCTGATCTGCAGTCGAGTCTCCCTTGGAACACGAGAGCAAAACGCTACAGCGTAGCACGCCGCCGGTCAGCTGAAAATTGCCCGCTCTCCTCTCGGCAAGTGTCGTGAATCTCGTACTATATCCCTACACTTTGTATTCTTTTAGAGGTGATGAATTGAGGGAATGTGCGCTGAGGCTCTGCCTCAACTGCCCGCGGCTGCCGGGTGCCACGAACGCACTTGCGATCGTCATCGTCTTCTGCGAGCGCTCACAGCCTCCATGCGCCCCCTATAAGGTACAGCCGTGCTAACTGGAATCAAATGCAGGCATTCCGCACGACACGCTCATGCAGTCTATCACAAGAGCCACGCCATGGCTCGATATTACCGGAAATGAAAAACGTAGTCTTGACCGTGGTCAAGTCTACCTTCCTATACGCCTCCCTTAGTTTTATTATGTGTTAGTTTTCATTAAGATTGTATAAAAATGGTTTGGTCATACTAGGTCATAAGTGTCGTATCGCGGCAGTGCCAAATATTTTTGCAATATTGGCTGTCCGCTTTTGTGACAATGTACCCAACGTGGGCGATACAAGCTATACAGTGACGCGCAGCTCGAATTCACCGTCGACTGCTGTCCTTACCGTACAATGGCGAAGCCAGGGGAAGGCGTGAAACCTCGCTCCCAGGAGCTTTTCAATTTCGCATGTGTGTGTGTGTGTGCATGCGCACATTCTTCGTCGTGTGCGGGCGTACGTTTGTAGTGTGCACGTGATATAGAATACCATATGCGCATGCGCGTGTTGCGGCGTATCGTTGCGGACGTCACTCAACGGGAGCCCACAAGAGGATGGCGTACGACGCGTCGCAAACGCAAAGATTTGCGTACGCTATTATGACACTCTGTTATATAGTGCGGCCGAACACCTCCTTCCTCTCCTCCACCGAAGAAAATTTCTGGCTGCCGTACCGTTATCACGTGCACATAATCAAACCTCGTAGCATGCACTTTGTTGCAACGGAATAATTGAGTTGCGTACTTCCGTCGATGAGCTACTTTTTAAACGCCATCGTGGCTGCAAGATGTCGCTAGCAAGATTCGGCGTAGGCTGTTATTCACTGATAGCTCCGCATGAAATCGACACCCCTAATGCGTGGGATATGCCGGAACGAGTTTGAATCGTTTGGCAGAGACAAGAAGACCGACCGAAATTTCTGCGTCGAAGTATATATGAAAAAGACTATCGTCTTTAAACAATGGCTCCACACCGATACTTAATGTGCTGTGTGGGCTTTATCGACCTGCAGGGGTGGTGTCGTCAACCAGGATGACCTCTACGACGCCCTGAAGAATGGAGTCATCCGGGCCGCCGCAATCGACGTCTCCGTTCCCGAGCCACTGCCCAAGACCAGCAAGCTGCTCACTCTGAGGAACCTGAGTGGGTATCGCGTCTACACAGAGTCCGACTTTGCCACGCTCAAAGATAAATTTGATTCCAGTGTTTATTTTTTTTGGTCCTTAACTTGCAGTGCTGCCTTTACCTATATATTGCAACGGGTATGAGCCGAGAGAGAAGAGGAGGAAGACGTGAACTGGCGCAAAGACCGACGCCACCACTACCGAACCATCAACTCCGCCCTGCTAATAAATACCCTTCGACTCTAACCGCAACAGTTTTGTGGTGGAGGTAGTCGCGCGAGGCTTCGGTGAGGACCTAGCGGCAGTGGCTACGTCGTCTTGGGCGAGTACCCAGCTCATCCACCAGAAAACTGTTGCGGTTAAAGTCGAAGGGTATTTATTAGCAGGGCGGAGTTGATGGTTCGGTAGTAATGGCATCGGTCTCTGTGCCAGTTCACGTCTTCCTCCTCTTCTCCTCTCTCGGCTCATACCCGATGCAATATGTTCAACTAGCCCCCACACAAGCTTTACGAGCAAACAGATTATCTTAGTTCATAACCGAGTGCAGGTAGCTGAAGAACAGAGGACATGAGACTAAAACATGAGCGAGGAGTTTCACATGGGGACAATACTCGTACACCGGTCACGCAACGAATCTAATTTTCATTTTTGCTCGTTTCTTTCAGTTGTGACTCCTCACATCGGCAGCTCCGAGGTCAGCGTTCGTATCAAGATGGGATTCCTCGCTGTGGACAACGTCATCAATGTTCTCAACGGTCAGGCACCCGCCACCAAACCGGTCGGCCCTCCGCACTAACCGGTCTCCCCAAAGGAACGGAGTGGTGCAGGCGACCAGACAATCAACTATACCTCGACACTGGTAGCCACTCCTCCGACCGTCGCATTGACTTTTCTATTTAACTTAAGACAAAAATTTTACTCATTGATATGTATACCGGCGTGCGGGGTGCCACATTACAACTACGCGTCGTCTCGTCAAACTGTTGGCTTTGAAAGATCAAACCATGGCGTCATAGTTCTTCTTCGCGCCGTCATCTTCCTCCTCCCATTGCCTCTCCCGACCCTTCGTAGGGTTTAAATAAAATTGTGCCATCTTGTGGTTGTTGAAGTGCCGCGCCTTGATTTTCTTCTTGTTGCTTTTTTATCCTCTAAAAGGGGTTGGGGTTAAGTGTAAAATGTCGCCCCGCCGCGGTCGTCTAGTGGCTAAGGTACTTGGCTGCTGACCCGTAAATGGCGGGATCGAATTTCGGCTGCGGCGGCTGCATTTCCGATGGAGGTGGAAAGACTGTAGGCCCGTGTGCTCAGATTTGAGTGCGAAGAACCCCAGGTGGTCGAAATTTCCGGAGCCCTCCACTACGGCGTGTCTCGTAATCGTATGGTGATATTGGGACGGTAAACCCTACCTGTCATGTTTAAAATGCTAGTGTCAGTCGGTGTCAGTGTCGTTATCTGAGCATCAGTGATATTGCACTAGGAGAAACATTTAATTCACACTTTTACCCAGGACCATGGGTTAGACTCCCGTTGAGTGAACTTTTTTCTTGTCTTCTCAATTAGCGTATTCTTTTCACGTCATTTCCGTAACTGAAATACGTCACTAAAGTCAAAACCTTACATTTCACTATGTGACCACGTGACAGATCATAGAGGGAATGTAAGAAGGCATGCGTTCTTTTGTGCCGCGTGTACTTTTTTATTGAGCCCAGACCCATAGCGTCTCCTTGTATCTCCTGCTGACGAACCTCGGGTCCAGCTCGGGCATCGTTACAGGCACGTCGGGAACGATGTTTGTGGTTCCGTAACCGAGCGTCGCTATGGCCGGAACGTTGATGTAGCGCATCCTGGAGAGAGGGGAGATGGAAAAGAAAAGTAACAAACTGCAGGCTTGGCAGTAGGTAAATTAGCTCCAGCGAATTCGATTTCAACCCTTTCCCTCAATAAGTAAATTAGTATCTTAAAGCAAGGCACCATCCGACTGATGGCCTATATCCAGTGGAATGGGTTATACGACGATATTTTTCAATTTCTAATACCTAATTTTTTTTCTTGATCCCTCACATCATTTTAAGAGACCGAAGCTAACGAAATTGTTATTGTTAGAACCGCCCGGTTTTCGGTCAATCCTCCAGCGTGGGCGAGTGCCGCAAATTTCAGGCTCCACTATACTTCTACTGAGAAAGCAACGTGCCGAGCAATAGTGCGTTGTTGACGTCATTTAGGAGACCACACTTCAATAATTTCTACTAGAGGAAACTCGGGTGCTGCGATCGTTAAACCACCATGGAAATAATGGATAGCATATGAATTCGCCTATGCTTCGTTCTTGCGACTCCGAGTGAATTTCTGGATTGGTTTATAGTTGTGTTTTTGGCTTTTGTTTTTGATGAAGAGTGCCTCGTTGTGAACCTCAGGAGCCGGTTTGAATTTGTCAGCCTAAAGGGGTCATGGTGGCAACGTGCGACTGCTGCACTATTGTTGAACAGCACGGCGACGGCTCCCAACCTTTTCCTTCTTATACATGCGAATATTAAAACAATCGCAGCGTATCCCCGGAGTGAATGATGATGAGTGGGGCGAAGTGTCCGTCAGTCCGTCCGTCCCTGCGTTCTTCCGTCCGCGCGTCAAACAGACGAGACAGACGACGGACGGACACGGCCAGCGGATGATCCACAATTTGCCGATAAAACCCTCCGAATCTTCGGCCCACTCATCATCATTCACTCCGTGGATATGCTGTGAGGTTGTTACTGCATACATACAGGTACGACCTACCCACGCCCTATGAAGCTTCGCCCCGAACACACTTTTCCACACGCATGTAACTGCCTGTGGCGAGGGACAACAAAAGTATAATAACAAAAGTGAAGAAACGGTAACATCCGGTAGAACTTCGGTGCGTTGAAGCCAAAGAGGTTTAAAAAAAAAAATGCTGGTGTGGAAATTCTTGCCCACGAATGAAGTCGCGCCAACCGTAAAATGGCGGCTGTGGCAGCCATCTTGCTAGGGTCACAATGAGCTGTTGGCATTCAGCGATTGAGAAGGAGCGTTTTCCTCGCTAGCTCAATTAGTTTATTAACGTGGCAACTTTTTCGGGTCAAATAGTGTTCAAAGTAGGTCCTTGGGTATAGTTTTCTTCAGTAAGCCTCGAATTCGTGGCAAATTTCATTGGAGATTAAGTCGCCGATACTAGTCTTTGCAGAATACTTATTCTGAAACAACTTATCTTTTAGTTTAGAATTAACTTAGACTAGCAAATCAAAGCCGCTTGATGTCTAAGTAAGCACCACCGGAAAATAGCACGTTTTTTTTTTAGATCTTTGGAGGGCAAAAGCTGCTGGTAAAGCATACTGCTGGTAAAGCATTGCGGGAGCTTCCACTCAATTTTTTTTAAAACCTCCTTGGTTGAAGCACGTAAATTTCAGCTAGGCAAGTTTTTTGTCTACGTTGACCATCATGACTTGTCCCACACGTTTTAATTACCTCTTTCCGATAACTCGATCGATGAACGCGCGGTAAGATGGCCGCACGAGGTGGGGCTGGAGTACGCCCTGTAATAGAAAAGGAAAGGGAAAGACACGGGAAGACCGAGAAGATTTATAAAACAAAAATAAAAGCAAGCAGGTAACACAATTGGCATGTGACATGTCTTCCAGGAACACTGTCCACGTCAGCATGCGCATAGTAGCGTTTGCTTGAGTAAACGGGGTGAGGTATTCTAGCAACAGTATACGTTTAGTTATCCCTCTTGTTTCTTGACCTCGGGCATTGGATGATTCTCCGGTGTTAATTCCCAATTGGCGCGCCATATGACAAGAAAGGAATGCGAAAGAGACAGAAACAAGACAGACACGGCGCTATTGTGGCTTAAAGTGATGAAACAATTAAACGGGGATTGTTGCTGGAGCCAGCTTTCAAAGTTGTCTCTGTCAGGATTGCTGCCGTAGGCAACATGAGTAGATGCTGTAGAAAGTAGCCGCTGGAGCTAACTTCTAGACTTGTGCATTTGCGACAACTTCAAGGACTTCTCAAAAGGGTAATTGGTGCATGCGAGAAACACACGCTGTCTCAGGGTGAAATGTGTGTCTGAGAGTTATAGAAAAGAGGGGTAAATAAAGAACTGGGTGGTTATACCAGTTTGTCGTGTTCATAAAAATATCGTGCTTGGTATTTTAATGCATGCAAGTTCCATGTTGTTCATTTTGTACTGCTATCGCGTTACAATTACTTAACAAATGTGGTTATGCTTCTAGTGTACCCATATGGTGTTGGGATTCGAGTCAAGCGGGTAATTTTGCCTTCTGTTCCAGCGTCTTGACAATCATTTAACGTAATGGCAAAATAAACAAAATACTAGAACAGTCTGCAACGACACTGCGTAATCATTACACTAGCAGTCTTCAAGAACCGCGCGCAGAATTCCATAAATGAGATGAAAAACTGAAGGGACCTAGGTATGCACGCTAGGCAAAATGAACAGAGAAACGCTCAGCCAAACCCGTTTGACGTTCTCGGGGGTATTCAAACAACTCCAATGTGCGTGCGTTGTCTTTATCAGGACAGCACGGCGACGGCGCCATCATATCTCCAAAGCTATCGCAATGATATGCCGACAGTTGAGAATGTTTATGCACACGTACCACCGTTAGGAGAACACCGCAGCAAATGGCGAAGAGTGCGGAATGGGTGCCTTCGGAACCGGACGGAAGGACGCCGGCCTCCTCGCCACGACTGTAGCATAGCTGCACGGAACAACGTATAATGGGGCAACGTTTGAAAGATTTACACATTCAACAGTGTTCTAGCTGGAGTTCATTTTTCTAATACTTCTTCAACAGTGCGGTTATTCTACACTAAGCGGAGCTCTTCGCGACCCGGCGACATGCAGGGGCATAGCCAGGTCACGTGACCTGGAGAGGAGGGTATCAGAGCGGCTGTGCCTCGCAGGTCACATGACCAGTTCGCCGGGGGGAAGAGCGGACCAATTAGAGAGCACGTGGGGAGAGAGCGTCGGGTACAAGAGCAGGTGCTTCCGCAACGCGTGTCATGGCCCAACGAATAGCCCACAGATAGAGCGGCCTTGTGGTCGTGTTTTCGGTTCTTCACAGCTGAACACGCAAGCACCAAATTGAAACAGAAACAATGGCAAGAATAATCGCAGCAAAACACCCATAGAATACCGAAACGCAGAAACAAACCACCGAGAATCGCAGCAATTACACCGGTATGAACGACCACAAATCTGCCCGATTTTTTTTTTCACTTCACAAATTTCACAATTTTTTTTCACAAATTTCACTTCGTGGAACTCGATTTTGGTTGCTCACTTTCCCTCTACGTGCGTTTCAATTGACGAGACACGCAAACACACCTCGAGGAACTTGAAGACGAAAAACAGGGTGATCCTGGGGCTTGGCCAGAGCGCCAGACAGAGCCCGGCCAGCAGCGCCGCGGTGGGGTCGTGCCAGGAGCGACTGGACCCCCGTAGCCTCAGGAGACATCGAGTCAGCTGCGTGAATCGGACGACACTTTATATAACGATGTACTGAATAAGAACACGCACGACCAGATTAATAACGAGAATGTTTTTCTAAAGAGAGGGTGTACATGTTTCTGGCTGTTCGCGTCCGTGGACTAGACGGCGCGAAGAACAATTTTCGACGACCCTCGCCACCGCTGGTGCCTCCTTCACGAGTGTCGCGATACTTGGCGGCAGCACTTCCCACCAATCGTTGTGCCCCGTTGTCTCGTGACGTATAGAGATCGTGCTATAGCGCTGTTATCGGCAGTTGCCATTAGGACGGCCCGTGGGACGGAGAGGAGTCGTTCGGAGGAGGAAGACGAGCGGGAATTGAAGTCGGGGCATCATTATGCGCAAAAGGGCGACTGGGTGTGAGAGCGACGTGAAGCCGCTTTAGCGAGACATGCAGCCGTAGTCGCTGGCTTCGATATTCACAGTACAGGAATAACTCTGAGTTTTACCACAAAAGCATTAAGCATGCGCAGGGTCGCAGCGCCCTCTTCCTAATGTATGGGGCAGCCTTCTCGTCCCTCCCTCTTAGACGACCAAGGAGAAAAGTGGTCGCCCCCTCCCCCCCCCGCCCCTCTCTTGTGTGCACGCCTATGCATGCCACCAACCACGACCGAACAAAACGAGACCATCCTGAGCTGATAGTCAGCGCCTATAAGTGAATTATCTTCTTCAGGCGTTGCCCTGACGAAACACAAGTCAACTAACCTCAACGTTGATTCTTTCGAAAACGAATTCGCCCCACCGAAAGCAAGAGAGTTGTCTTTGTCAGGTGCTGGCCCTGGCGAAAAGAACTATACACTTGCTGTACATATTGCAAGATGTTTCAGCGCGCGAACAAAGGAAAAAGGACAGGGTAGACAGAAAGAAAGTCCTTTTTCCTTTGTTCGCGCGCTGAAACATCTTGCAATATGACTACGCACCAACTAGCCCAAGTTTTCACTCTTGCTGTACATCTTGGTGAAGACACATGATCTCGTCTTCAGGTACTGCTCTGACGAAGACAGCACATTTCGGCTGCCTGTATGTACATAGCAGCTAGAATCATCATTATGCACAATTTGGTTCGTAGCTCGAACATATCTTCATTTACTTACGCTGTACACGGCTCCGAACGATCCCAGGAAAAGTCCCGGTCGTGGGTCGACCCGTCGACCCCAGGTCAGGAGGAAAGACGCCGCTGTGCCGACGCTTGTGAATGCTACGAACCTCTGCGAGAAAAATTAGTAAAGCGAACCACAGCTTGACATTTATTGCAAACACATGATTCAAACACGTGGTGCCCGGTCCACTTTCAGTGGGAATAGTTAGCAGAGTTGGTTGAGGATTTTTGTTTTGGCGGGGGGGGGGGGGGGTCTGAAAGGGGCACCTCCTTGACCTAAAAAGCCGGGCAGGCATATAGTAATTTTTATTCCAGGGGGAGGGGGGCACACGGGCGCAAAGTGCCACCCCCTATAGCTACGCCCCGGATAGTAAGCATTTAGTCGGGAGTCGCTTTTCGTAACTACATTTTTCTTTAGTGAGACATCACTTTATTTCGCCCATTTCCTACTCAGTTACGGCATTTACCCTCTGTTAATGGCGAGAGATGGCGCTACGTGTACATGTCCAAAAATCCTGGTTATCCTGGTAATTTGGGTTGTGTTGGCTTAGGTTAGGCTAAAGAAGCCGCACAAAAACTTCAAGTTTGATGTAATAACTCGGGATGTAAGAGCTAGAGATCAATAAGGCTGCCTATTCATCATCATCATCATCATCATCATCATCGTCGTCATGTCTACGTCCACTGCAGGACAAAGGCCTCTCCCATGTTCCGCCAGTTAACCCGGTCCTGTGCTTGCTGCTGCCAATTTATACCCTCAAACTTCTTAATCTCATCTGCCCACCTAACCTTCTGTCTCCCCCTAACCCGCTTGCCTTCTCTGGGAATCCAGTTAGTTAGAGACCTGGAGACTTACAAAGAGGGTTCAGCTTAAATCGAGGACGACGCAGCGAGCAATGGAAAGGAAATTGGTAGGTGTAACCCTAAGAGACAAGACGAGAGCACAGTTGAAATTAAGAAGAGGAAATGGACATGGTCCGGGCATGTAGTGCGTATAGATAGGATGACCGCTGGTCGCCAAGGGCTGCCTATTAGCGATGTATTAAAAACGATGACTCTTTTAATTACAGCGATGTCCGTACCGTGAGTGACGATGCGAAGCAGTGCAGTGCCGTCCGGAACTTTCGGTCGTCGTTTGGGCCGTGCGCCGAATCGCCGTGCTTGCAAGGGATCAGTTGGAAGCCGAAGAACATTCTGCGCGTATCACGAATGCAAGACACGCAAGCGAATTGTAAGCTGTAGCTTATACATTATAATAGTAACAAAATAATATGATGAATATATTATTATAACAACATCGCAATATTATGTACACGTACGTGTGTTCATATAAACGGGTTCGAATGTGCTACTAATAATTATGGATAGTGTGGAAGCATTAGGTCAGCTCACGATGAGCAGTTAACTCACTGCAACTAAACTAATTGCTAAAAACGAGGAACAGAAACTGTGCACCTTTAATCGATGCTATACTAGCTCTAAACCAATACGATCGCGCTCTGTGGTTGAGGAACTCACAAACCGTAGCGCCTTGACACTCAGGTCCTTCGACTTGGTGGCCCTGCGAGAGACAAAAGAGGGCGCCTTAGGGCACATTCGATTCGTATAATTAGTGTTCGCGCGTAAACAAAGCTTGGAACTGCACGCAGCAGACAGAAAGGACAGGCCTAATAACTGGAGCTCATAGGAACTCACGTCTCAAGGACAAAAGCATCAGCGTACCTGCATTTTAGGCCAAATAAATTGCATATCTCAGCGCTACGACACGTGCATGTCACGGTTTTGTCTTTTGCTTTGTAATACGCTAGTAGTAGTAGTAATAGACTTTTATTCAGCCAAATTTACAGGCCGAGCACTTCGACCGCCTGTGCGATCAGTCGACGCTGTTCTTCTTCCCCTTCGGCGCCGATCCAGTCGAGCCAGGAGGTGATGGAAAGGGATGGGGGAGGGTAATAGCTGGATTGCTGAGCAGTTGGGCAGTAAAACAGGCAGTGTGACAGGTCAGCGTATGGGGAGGGACAATTAGGACAGCAGGGGTTAGACCTATATTTATAAAGGAAAAGGCGAGAGGGGGTTATCAGACAGTTCATTTGGATGTGCCGTAGAGTTCAAGCCTCGAGCGCAGTGAGTGATGGATGAGGGGAAGGGTAAAGACGCTTGTCGAGCCGGAGCTGGAGATATACCTCCTTGATAGTGTGACGCAAGGAGATCTGCCCATTGTTATTCGCGGAGCTCTCACTGTCTTCCGAAGGTGTGGGCCAGGGAATGAACGGTGCCCGGTGCAATATATCGCGGGCAAGCTGATGAGCTAGCTCATTGCCGTTAATACCCGAATGCCCAGGAACCCAGCGGAGGAAGACAGTGGAGGGTTGAAGAGCAGAGGCCGCTCGCTCGACCTCCTGTTCAAGAGCAGGGGGCAACGTGTTGTTCTGTATGTGACGGATGGCGGCGTGAGAGTCGCAGTAAATCGTGTACTCGGGGAGAGAAGGCAGGGAGGAAAATGACTGCATGGCGTGGACCATGGAAAGGACCTCGAGCGAAAGTACATTTGGCGGGTGTAAGTATGGCCCGCTGGTGTGCGTGTCAGGTGCCGAAAGGTGTGGATGGTAGATAACGTAGCCACACGAGCCCCGAGGAGCCATGTATGAGGCATCTGTGTAGGCAACTCCCTGTGTAGAGAGAGGAGGAGAATGATGCTGTGCTGCCGCATGACGCCGGCCGGCGTGAAGAACGGGAGACATATTGGATGGGAGGGGAAGGATGCGAAGCTTAGAAGCAGCGGTTCTAGCGGCAGAAGGCAAGGTGGGAAGGGAAACGGGAATGTGAGAGATACCGGCTTGGGCTAATAGCCATTGGCCTTGACGAGTGAGAGAAAGACAGGCAATCTGAGAGTCGTGGTGCAGAGAAATAAGAGAACGTAATGGATGGAAGAGGCCTGTGGCAAAGAGCTTGGTGGTAGAGGTAGGGAGAGGGAGGTTTAGAGCTGCCTTGTAGAGGCCTTATAGAGCTCTTTCGAGTGTGTTGAGTTGCGTTTCGGTGAAATGAACGTATGGCACAAAGTACAAGAACCTGTTAAGGGCAAGCGCATGTGCAATCCGGCACGCATGAGCCTCGTGGAGCCCCGACTGCCGAGTGACAACGCGTCGCAGGAGGTGGGTCACCGAGTGGCAAGTCCTCACGGCGTGATGTAGGGCCTGCGCGTTCTTTGTCGCGTGCAAAGGGAAGCCAAGAACTTTGCATTGCTGAACAGTGGGGATGAGAGAGCTAGAAAGATGTAGGGAGATGAGGGCATTGTGGGAGCGCTGGTACGCGTGTTCCAACGTAGGTGTAAATAAGGTCACGTTTCTCGCCAATAAACCCATGTTAGCTCGCGCTTTGTCCATTTATATGTGTTTCTCCTGGTATCCCTGTTTTTTTTTCTCTTTTTTTGTGCACAACAGTTTGCGTCTACACGAATTATCAACAAGCACAAGCCGAAACACTCCTTCATAATCCTCGAAAACCTTAACTCACTCATTCACTTACTCACTCACTCACTCACTCACTCACACTCACTCACTCACTCACTCGCAGTTTACAAAGGGCACACGCTTCGTAGAGACACAAGCACATTCAGCTTCAAGATCGTATAACATTTCCGTGTTGCTGCTGCGCGTTCGCCGCACTGTATTTTCCTTAATTGCGGACGACGCGGATGGCGTCGCGGCGGCTTCTGCGTGAGTTGTCGTAGCTAAGAACAATGACGAGGAAAGAAACTGGCGAAAACGTCTCTCTAGACGTTTAACTTGCCCCGTGTAGCTCTGTAGAAAACGTGGAACCCCACACAGAAAGCTCACACGCATTCTGACGTCTGGTATACCTGTTGCCGAGACGCGACTCGTTTTGAAGGTTAGAAGTCGGTTGAAGGTCTAATGGCTAAGGTTCTCGGCTGCGGACCCGCAGGTCGCGGGATCGAATCCCGGCCGACGCGGCTGCATTTCTGATGGAGGCGAAAATGTTGTAGGCCCGTGTGCTCAGATTTGGGTGCACGTTAAAGAACCCCAGGTAGTCGAAATTTCCGGAGTCCTCCACTACGGCATCTCTCATAATCATATGGTGGTTTTGAGACGTATAAATATCATATATCAATCAAAGTCGGTTGAAGGTAAAGCTGCCGAATGTAGAAAGCTTTCGAATTATACTGTGTAACGTAAAATGTTTGATGGAGTATTCTAGCCAAAAGAAAAAAAAAGTCACGTGGTTTTTTCATGGATTTGACTAAAACGACTTGACTGTCAAAGTCATCTTCATGTTTGCAGTCTATTGTATTGGCTTCCTCCCAAAATCTTTCAAAAAAAGGGGGGGGGGTCACTACAATTGACTGCAATATAACTGGGGAAAGGAGGAATCTGAGGCAACGGAAGCTTTCTGCAGCCGGCGTTGTTTGGCAGTAGTTCCGGGATCGGCTAATGCATCGACCAATAGATTATGTCGTGTGGTGATGCCATGATGATGTCACAGAGCGGCGTCAATCATTACAACAGGATTACCTCCCGCATCTCTCACGCTGTCGCCGATGATCAATTTCTGCCTTTCATGAGGCTTCTGAGTTTTTCGCCTTAAAAAACAAAAAAAGCGGTTATGACAGAACAGGTTGAAGTCGGGATAGCTATGGTCAATTTTAGGTTAGTGGTAAAACGTATAGTAATACATTATTATGCTCATAAGCAAGTGTTTTGACATTGTACGACGGCAATCGACGAACCCACACACTACTTCGTAATGTCGTTATCATTAAGGTTTGAGATCAAGAGCGGCCGTCTTAGTATGCAATTCATCAGAGTAAAACATTCAAACAACAATAACACAACAACAGCTAGCTCATAAAAGTAGCTTTATACGTATCGTAAAACGCATTGCCCTGCTCATTTACGTCTGACTTCTGTTGTCTCGAGCAAACAAACGGGCATTTTAGTGTCCCTAAGTCGTACATATTCTATGCGACTACACGCCTGATGGTCATCATCATCATCATCATCATCGTCGTCGTCTTCGTCATCATCATGATCACTCTGACTACGTCCACTGCAGGACAAAGGCCTCTCCCATGTTCTGATGGTGGTTAAGCTCTATTATCCAGAACAAGCTTGGCGCTAGCCTTCAGTTTCCACGATACTGCACGCTTTTACGCCAGCGAGTGCCTGCAGAACAAGCGGCAGGCTGGCCACAGCCGTTTTGAGTGAGCCGCTCACAAGGCTTTCGCCCAAATAACGCCTGACTCATTTCTTGCGCCATCATCACACGCATATACGCCGACGTTGACTCAGATAACAGCCGTGTCCGTAATGCATAAGCATTCGCGCTTGAATCATTCAAGAGGTTTTAATTTTCTTTGGTCATTCGTTTGTTCTTCTATTAGCAATTCTCAGACCGCTTATCTCTCTGGTGTTGGCGACAATAGCGCCAACAAGAACTGGCGCCACTGCACATAAATATACCGTGTGCACGCGTGTGCTCCCATGTGCGCGAGTGCGTCTGTTATTCTGGGCTGGAAAAGAAAATGGCGAACCTTCCCCAAGGCCCCGCTATAGGACTGAAAAAAAAAAACGAGAATACCATTCTGCATGAGGACTGACCTGGTTGCTGTTAGGCTATATGCTATAGGCCTTAGCTATAGGAGATGCAGGTTTCTATAGGTTGCTTATATCGTATCGCTCAGATCGTTTATATCATTCTCATAAGGTACAGGTCATTAGCTGCTGCACTAAAGCACTTCCCAGCATTCCTTCGTCCCACGCATATCCAATGACTGGAACCACCTTCCCGCCGACATAGTTTCCATCTCAAATCATGGCTTGTTTTCTTCCATCATGCATATGTACAAAATTACTTACGTGATGACACCTAATATATATATATATATATATATATATATATATATATATATATATATATTCAGTGCTTCTGTATGTATACTTTCCCGTTCCGCATAGGGAGCAGGAAAGTACGTGCAACGAGAGAAAGACCATTGTTTTTCTCTCGTTGTACGTACTCGAGGTCTTCGGATCGCCGCCGTCACTTCGGAGCCACTTATGAGGCCAAGGGTTGCATCTTTATTTTTTAGCGAATGTGGGATTTACTCAATTTATGTGGCACATGTCCGCTTATTTGATTGATTTGTGGGGTTTAACGTCCCAAAACCACCATTTGATTATGAGAGACGCCGTAGTGGAGGGCTCCGGAAATTTTGACCACCTGGGGTTCTTTAACGTGCACCCAAATCTGAGTACACGGGCCTACAACATTTCCGCCTCCATCGGAAATGCAGCCGCCGCAGCCGGGAATCGAACCCGCGACCTGCGGGTCAGCAGCCGAGTACCTTAGCCACTAGACCACCGCGGCGGGGCATGTCCGCTTATTTGAATAACTGTTTGTATTCAGTGTAGCAGTGGTGAGCAGGAGGTTTACCCAATTCCTGTGGCACACATCCGCTCATGATGATAGTTGTTTGGCTCTGGTTATACAAAGAACGATCTACCAAGCAGATTTGTTAAATTAAAGAAATGGACATAAAGCAGTTCACTGCTAAAGACGACGATTCAGTACCCCACAAGACGCTATCATTGCAAAACAAATTCACCTTCAATAAAGAACTCGATGGGACGCGTACTGAAAGTTTGCGGTCTTGAATCGCGCATGCGTCTAACCAAGACTGTGTAGCCCATTGTGCCTGCCTGCAATGGGAGACCATCCTTTTCTAACAGTCATTGGTGTATAAAGCGCGACGCGTGTAGGTAAGTTACGGTTCGCACCATCATGGTCGAGAGATAAGCCTATTCCACGAACCGCAGTCTTGATGCCTTCATTTCCCGAAAGCAATCAGAGAAGGGAATGAATCACGTACCGCGCAAGCCAGATGATCCCGGCCAGGCTAGCTGCGAACAAAGGCACCTGAAAAAAAAAGAAAAAAAATTAAACATAGCCCAAATTAGAGACCGGAAAAATATTTTTTTAGAGATGAGCCAATCATCTCATGAAACTGCATATGATAGTAAATATCGCACCATAAAGCAACGTGATGCATTGCACCAGTTTCTTTTAAACAAATCCGGAAGTGGTCACATGCGTTGGATGGATGGATGAATGGATGAAAGGATAATCTCCGTTAATTCAAGGTGATGACTACGAAGTATTGGCACAATTTTACTTTTTTATGTTGCTCATTGCTTCCTTCTCATACTCTCACCTGAAAACGATCGAGACCTTCGGGCAAAACTCCGTTGTGCTGAAGGGTTGCGAATGCCACCTCGGCAGCCTGGAAAAAACAAAACAAAACAAATACTTCATCAGAAGACAGTTTCATCATAAAATCTGCTTCCTAATGCTTACGGCGAACAGTGTATACGGAGAGCCCCTCAAAATATCAATCCATACGTAAATAAGACATGCTGAGAATGCATACTACGCCTTACAGGCCATAAGATGCTGTGTTGCCAAGCAGGGAAAGGGTAAGAGAGTGGGAGGCAAATTAAATTCAGGGACGTTAACTATAGGTTGCACCCGATTTGCTACCCTGCAAAGTGAAAGGAGAGAAAATGATAGAGGAAGCAAAGAGAAATCAACTGACTCACACGCACACGCAGTTTACCACACATACTGCACAGAAGGTGACAAACTGAGACGACGAGTTAAACATTGCAGCTTGAGGAAAGTAAGGTATACGTAATACAGATACGGCTACAATGAGGCATCTTGTTCAAGGAATCAATTGAACATGACAAAACTGTTCCGACCTCGACATCTCGGATATCTTGAGGCCGAAGGCGACTATGATAGGCCCGAGATTTGTGCCAACTGTCGCATCTCTAGCTGAGGCGCGGTCATTCAACAACCCGGCCAAGTAGTTATAAATTCAATGTGGCGCAGGTCCGTACTTCCACTTTCTCTCCCCCAAAGGCAAGACCAGTAAGTAAGCAAGAAGTTTAGAGAAAACGAAATGTTGAAGGACGACAAAATGTCTCGTTTAAGTCACGATTCCCCAAGCGATATTTCATGCATCGTTGCGTTGACCACAAACAAGAACGGCACGATGCGCTTAAACCACATTCGTGCGAAGGTGTATAGGTTCGCGATACAAGTGCTTCACGTCATTGTGACGTTGTACACCTTCACAGCGCCACAGGTGTTGTACAACTGTACAACGTCACGGTGACGTCACGCGTGACGTCATTACAAAATCCCGAAGAAGGCATAATTGGAACTCACCAGTCTGAGCATGGAGACAAGCAGCGCCTGTACCCTGCGACGGAACGGGAGCACTCGTAAAACGAGAAGACCAGTGCGCATGAGAGTTTCGAGCAATTATAGTTGATTACAATGCCGTTGATTTAGTTAAAATCGAGATCATGGACAGCAAACTACAATATGCAGTGGCGGAGATGTCAAGCATCTAAAGGCTACAACAGAAATTCGACGATGAACGCCTTTTACAACAGAGCCACCCGTGTAACGATGTATTCCTGCATTGTTGTCGTTATCATGCGTGACCTTTTATTAGCACGTGACGCTGTTAAATATTCCCGTCTATCTCTTGCTCTGCGATCCTGTATAAGCGAATTCGTTGCTGCTACATGATAAGGCGATCTTGGTTTTGATCATAGACCAAGGCAAACGCGTTCGTTGCCTCTATATACTTAAGTGATTCTATCCCGCAATGAAAATCAGTTGAAGTTCAGTGCTTGTGTCATCCCTTTGTGCGCGTGTTCGTTGCGTAGCCTTGTTTGCGCTACCATATATGCCGTACTGACCTTTACAGCGAGTGGCTCGTACAGCGAAGCACCTCGAACATGCCGAGTATATTTGAGAGGTTCTTTAATAAGGAAAGTGAAGAGAAAAGCGCGGAGCTGTTACTGTCTTTCAATGCGAAGTCACCGACACGGCTCCGCGCGGGGAAGGGGGAATGGGAGGTAAAGATTGAGGAGGAGAGTGTAGGAGGGAAAGGACACAGAGGACTGTATATTTCCTCACAAAGACGTGCTTACCCAACACCACCTTTTCTAGACAATGTTGGCTTACCGCCTCGGTTCTTCGAGTTTGATGCCGAGGTAGACCGCTGCAAGGCACGAGAACAGCACCTGGCCCGGCGAGAAGTGACCCAGGTAGGCGCTGCGGGTAAGACGAGTCGTATAACTTTACTTTTGTTCGTTATCGGCAATACTGTGGTCACTGAAGACGAGGCAAGTGGGGAGCTGTACGAATAATCAGCTATGTACGCTTTAAAAAATAAATAAACAAAATGAGCAATCAAACTGTGCAGCAATGTACAATGGGGTGTTCAGTTCAGTACAAACGAAAGATGAAATATGGGGTTCTGATGGATTCTCGACGACGTCAAGAAAAAATAACGCTACGTCTGATGCATTCGCAGAACACGCAGACATGACTGCAGCACGTAATAAATCGGGACAAATCCCGGCTGCGGCGGCTGCATTTCTGATGGAGGCGGAAATGTTGTAGGCCCGTGTGCTCAGATTTGGGTGCACGTTAAAGAACCCCAGGTGGTCAAAATTTCCGGAGCCCTCCACTACGGCGTCTCTCATAATCATATGGTGGTTTTGGGACGTTAAACCCCACATATCAATCAATAAATCGGGACAACGCCAGCATCACTGCAATACAGCATCACTGCAACGATAGAAACTCTAGTATAGAAACTCTGATGCTGGCGACACCTACTAAAATGTACTTAGCTTGCCCTACATTTGAACTTCATTTGGAACAAAACTCCCGTGTGAGAGTCGAAACGCGTCGTCTTTTTTTAAAAATGTTTTTATTGTGGTAGGCGTTTTTTTCAACAAACGAAAGATGAAAAAACAAACAGTAATGCAAAAATAAGTTGTGTCTGAAAGCCCAAAAGACGTGAGCTTATGTAGACCAATCTCGTCAAATAATACAGCCACATTCGACAATGACGACAGTGTATGAGCAATTGACCCTGCTATAAATACCAGGGTTGCTTATGCATTTTCCTGAGACGACTCGAAAACAAGTCTTCTTGGACCGTTTATAGCAAAAGTGCTGCTTCCCAACAGTCTTTTTTTTTTTAACGGCGATAGCAATTACGTGGACATTCTCGGCTGGATTTAGCTGCCGGCGTCGGCATCGACGTCGCCTTCACTCACCGTATATGTATACGTATCGGTAAATATGAAAATCCAAGAAAGAAAAATAATCTAAAAAAGGTCACAGCTTTGCCGCAAGGGCGAAGCAATGAACACGATAGCATCAGATTTGAGCACCACGCGCACAATGGCAAGCAGGTCGAAACGCGCCCCGCGTTTCTCGCGCACAAATGACGCACGAAACGTACTCACAGGTACAGATGAACGCGAATAATGGCCGTTCCACGCGCTTTCCGCACAGCCGCAACGCGCATGCCGGGACTCCTACAGCCCGCAAGAGGGGGACAAATAAGCCAATTGGCGACGCTGCGGAGGGTGAAAGAGCGTCGCCTATTGGCTTATTTGTCCTCCGCTCGCGTGCGGCAGGGGTCCCGGCACGTGCGTTGCGGCTGTGCGGCGGGAAGCGTGTGAAATGGCCCTAAGCGTCTCAGTTGCGACGTCGTTGTGTCTGAAAAGCGCGCCCTTTTCGCAAACGGAGAATGTGCAAAGATTTCAGTGGCCTTTGTGCGCCCTGTAACTAGAACAGAATCGTTCCGGCGAAAGCCCAAGGCCACGCAAGACGTACGTCCCCTGCCGCGAGATAAGCGCGCGCGTTAGCGTCTTCCATGCTCCCTCTCATCGGGGCGAAGTGCGCGTGGGAGATTTGAACATTACCAGCAAGCCTGGCGCAATGAGCGCGCGTCGCCATATCGTCACGACGCGGCGGCGCACGCTCGTGACTCCGCGTCACGACGTCAAGAAATCGGTCGTCTCTTTAGTGCTCCTTTAAATTCGCCCTTCTACGCCCATGCTCGCCCATTGTGAAATGACCTGAACTAGATGAATGTGTTCTAACAAGAATGAAAAAAAAAACGCTTGTTATGGGCGCGCTATTGAAATATTTCGGGTTGGCGGTGACTCGACAAGAACTCGTAATTTAATGAACTTGTAACATTACGCAATGCTAGTTCTCAGAACACAATGCGCAAGGGACCGTTGAAAATTCGCAGAAACACATTCGGCAATATATTTTTTCTGATCGTAAAAAAAAAACGAACTTTGGTAGGTAATACTGAAAATAAAGGTAGCATTCTAGTCAAAGGTTTAAAATATTGCGTTCATGTAGCACTATCACGCATTTGAGATGAACAAAACGAAGACGACAGTGCTGAATGCACAGTTTGCTGTCGAAGAACACAGCAGGACCTTATAGATTTAGAAGATTCTATTTTCGGCCGCAGCATACGGACAGAACTTTTTTAAAGTGTGAATACACTTTATAAGCGACCCCAAACCATCCACCGCCGTCGGCGGCGTCCGCAGTCTTCTCTCTATCTTTAAAAGAAAGAGGACTTGGCGGGCCGCAGCGCGACGCTCTACCGAATAAGCCACGGACGCGACGCTGATATCGGTGTCAGTAACGCGCCTTATACCCCCTCCCCCTTCGCTCACTCCTCCGCTCTCCTCGCTCGCTGCAGCTGCGCGCGCACCCCTCTCTCTCGCGCGCCCACCTTCTCTCTCAGTCTCCCGTCGAGAGCGGCTCGTGAGGGGGAGTAAAGTTAAAATCCGTTGGCATTCGCCAGTGAGTTAACGTAAACTCCGCCGTGTGATCAAATTGCGATTCCCAGGAACCAATACACCATAAAGGCACCACAGTGTTAATAATAAATATAATAGTGCGAATTATTAAATACCCCTCATAGCATCACCCCGTGTATTCGCACTTAACCATGTTCACCCTCGGGGAAATGCTTGGGAGTTTTTTTTTTCCGTGATTGTTTTCTTTTTTTTCCTACATCGTCAGCCGCGCTGGTCGCAGTGATAACAACGTCGGCGTGGCAGCGTGCGTGCCAGTGACGTTGCAGATATGATTCACCAATCCGGAAACAAAGAAAATCTTCCGCGCGCATTGATGCATGCGTTATGTAGCTCGGGTTCGTGGTCGTCGTGTTCGGGGAGCGAGCAAACGGTGTCTAGGTCTGCAATTTTTCTTTGTTGTTTCTGCCTTGATGCGGGCTGTGCCCGTGTGCTGCGTTCATCTGCCGAGCTCTGGCGCCATCATCGCTTGAAGACATGGCATGTGTCTGACCGTGCGTCTTGCGCACGCATTCAACTAGGACTCGACCGAGAACCAGGTCAGTTTACGTCAGTTCGACCGAGAACCAGGTTTAACCTATTTATGATTTATTTATTTATTTATTCATTTATTGATATGTAAGGTTTAACGTCCCAAAACCACCATGTGATTATGAGAGACGCCGTAGTGGAGGGCTCCGGAAATTTCGATTACCTGGGGTTCTTTAACGTGCACCCGAATATGAGCACACGGGCCTACAACATTTCCGCTTCCATGAGAAATGCAGCCGCCGCAGCCGGGATTCGATCCCGCGACGTGCGGGTGAGCAGCCGAGTACCATAGCCACTAGACCACCGCGACGGGGCAGGTTTAACCTATGGGAATCGAAAATGTGAGGAGCCTTTCGAGGAAGTTTCGTGCCCGGCAAACCCTCCGATACTTCAGCTGACGATGTGTTGCAGTCGATGCCAGAGACAGAGCGCTGCTTGACACTTGTATAGGAGTGGCTACGAACTTTATAGCCACTGACGTTCGTTTCGAGCCTGAAGTTCGTGTTTTTACGTCAGTTTTTTCCCCTCCACGCGAGCTCCTGTAATACATGTTACGCCCGGTTTCATTTGAAACCTTGGGACGAGGCCTAACCCTAACGGCTCTGCTGCGAAGCCGGAGACGCGTAGAGCCGCCAACATCTTTGACTGTCTTGCGAGAGCGGTGACTTTTGTGTGCGTCAGCGCCGTACGACGAAGCCGAATTGCAAATAGTGCGAGAGTAAGTGCACGTCCGAAAATCGCGAATGCCCGCTGGACGATTGGCCACGTGATAGATGTATGTAGACGGCAACAAAGCTGATAGCAGGATCTGAGGACACTGCCGTTTTGTGTGTTTAACAACTAAATGAACAGTGTTTCGGCATATAGGCGTACACATGGGAACGATTGGATTGGTTTGTTCGATCGACGTTTCTTGAGCGTATCGATTCGCGTCGCTATATAAAAAATAGAGAACATTAGAATAACGCAACGCAAATCCTTGCGTTTGCGTTGCACATGCGTCGTACGCCAACCTCTTGCGGGCTCCCGTTGAGTGACGAACGCTAACGCTACGCACGCAAGCTTTACGTGCAATTTTCTAAAACTCCCTAATAGGAAAACATTCGCTTAACATCCAAAGATAGCAGTGCTACCATAAGTTGAGATAGTCGATTGTGGCGCAAGGCTTAAACGTAGAAAATCGCTAATAACGCAATATAACTATGCGCCTTGCTTCTACACCTCTGCAAAGCGACCGCATTGACATGGGCATCAATACACAGTTTCGATTTTCCTTCGTCAAATGTTCGTCAAGAACACCGGTGTAAACGCTCAAGTCAGACGGTCGGTGAAACGAGTTCTTCATTGTTGTGCAGTGCCTACATTGCCTAAAGAAACGGTAACATTGTTACTGCGTAATCCCGCGTATAGTATCGTGACCAGTATGGTCGAATATTCAGACTCGTTGTGTGAAGCAGCCTCATCAAGCACAGCATCCAGCGATACGCGGGTATACTACATCCTCCAAACGAAGTGGACGAATGCACTACCAAGGTAAGTTAACCTGCCGGACATCCGCATCTGAGCGCTTCCATTAGCATCTTCCTGTTGTCGCGCCTCTTGATTATTTACGATTACGTTCGCTATACGCATTGCCCTAAGGCAGTGTACATTATAAGAGGGGGTTGCACAAACACCAGCATTTTGGTCTGCAACAGACGTGACAGACCTTTGCATCGATGTAAATGCAAACACGTCACTCGTTGGCCGGTGTCCTTTTTTTTTTTTTATTTTACATGCCCAAAACCACGGTATGGTTGAGGCACTCCGGAAATTTCGACCATGCGGTGTTCTTCATACGTGCATTGACATTTCACGGTACATGGACCTATAGCGTTT